TTGGCCAAGATTTTACCCAGCAGATAATGCGCTGCTGTCCTAGGCGCTCGCTTTATCTAGGTCAAGCCATTAGTTTTGCTCTTGATCTACATACATTTTTAATTTGATCTTTAACGTTGATTTTTGGCCAGCAAGCCAAGCCGACGGACTTCTTTGCCGCTGATTGCGTCTTGATCCTTCTGGAATACGCAAAGAGGAGAAAAAAAAAGCACCAAAATCCCAATGCGCTTCAACTGCTTGCAGCTGCGCTCTTGGCTCGGGGAAGCGGAGGCCAAGGCCACCGATGGGGCGAGCCCGGTCCATGCCACTCATCCAAGGCTGAGCAAGGGCACGGCAAGCAGCGCGCAACCCAGCGGACGCGCTCAGGAGGCACCCCAGGACCTCTGAGAGACCCTGCCGGGGGGGTCTGGGCAGCCGGAGACCTTTAAGGTGAGCTGCAGGGGGGCAAGAGATACGAAGATGCCTTCAAACGCGCAATGTTGGCTGAAGGGCACTTTCTGAAGGCACCAGCCGGTTCTTCTCCCGGCTGGACGGGAGCCGCTGGCCCTGCACAGACGTAATTGTGCCGCCTCAAGCAGCAGCGTGCCAAGTCTCTGCCTAACGAGCCCAGCACGGGCCCTGTCCCGTGGCTGAGCAGGGCAGCTCGAAGCAGAGCCATGCCCACCCCCTCTTACCAGGGCAAACGTCAGTGCGGATGCTGCCCGGCCCAGCAAGGGAGGAGGGGAGGAGCGCTGCCTTCCTCTGCCCACCGCAGCTGTAAAGGGATGAGCGGCGGCAGCACGGGGTAAGCACTGCGTCTGGAGGAAGAGGAGAGTCTGTGGGTGCAGGATTACACACGAATATTTCAGCACGGGGCTCGGCCCCGCAGGTCACACCGCAGCAGGACCCGGCGACGGGCACGACGCGGATTTACCGCCGTTCAGGAAAACTGCTCGCGCTCACCGGCTTCTTTATCATATAAACAACTGGAGTTGAAGACGCACAGAATAAAAAGCCGTAATGTGGGTTAAAGGGATTAAAGATGGTTCCTAAAACACCTTGAGGTGTGTAAAATGGTACGGACGGATTGTTGCAGAGCCTCCACGGGAAAGCCTCACTGCAGGCACGCACTAGAGATTTCTGACGCAAAACAAGCTCGGAGGGGACGGGGAGCACTGGGAGATGGTTTAGGGTTTAGACACAACAGTATGCTTTTCAGGCATTCAGCTCTTCTAAAGAGGGGAAAAAAAAAAATTCCTGCCAAAGCACAGCCCTTTTGACAAAATGAAGTTACTCAGTTCAAAACCCAATCTTCCATCAAAAAAAAACCCAACTTGAAAGGCGTTTCCAGCTCGCTCTAGCGACAGGATCAAAGCCGGAGATTAAGAGCAACTGCTCACTGCTCAACGCCCAAGCGTGCCGCGGACCTTCCAGAGCAGCTGGCGGCAACGCAACTCCCCCATTAATGACTTAAAGGGAGAAGGGGGGGGGCAGAGCCCCGCCGTGGGGCACGGGGGCACTTCGGGCAGGCCGCGGGTCCCCGGGCAGCAGCATCCCGCCGGTGCTCCCACCCCGGCACGCTCTTAATGATTTCAAGCATTTCAGATACTTGCAAGGATTTCACGTATTGCCAGCGAGCACACTGTGGTCAGGGCTGCAGACTGAGGGCGTGCGAGGAAGACGACACAAAACACTAATGCAAATATTGACTCTGCTGGTAAAGCTCGGCACTGATCCCAGGCAATTCCTGCAGCGGAGGTAGAGCGCTGGGAAAAAAGCCGCCCAAAGCAAGTCCCGCCGATGCAGAGCCAGAGGCGGGGATTACAGGCACGGAACCGCGGTCCCCCCCGGCGGGGCTGTGCCTAGCAGGAAAGCCACGTCTGCCACCGGCCGCCCCCTCCCCAGCTCCCCCCTTCAGCTACAGCTCCTGCAGCTGAACCACGATCTGGGCAGGACGAATGTTTCTAGCAGAGGAGAGCTTTCCTTCCTCCCCGTCCAAAATCGCTTCAGATTTATTTAAAAGGAAAAAAGAAAAAAAAAAAAAAATGGTGTTCTGGCAACCTGCAAAATTTGGCTGGTTGAAGAAACAGTTTAGGTGGTCAAGGACTTCCGTCTTCAGATGAATTTGCCTGGCTAGCTGACACAGGCCAGATTAGGGGGAAAATATTAAAAGGGGGTTTAATTTCTATCCCCAGATTTTATTGCGTGCAAACATACATGGTCATTTCTTTCTAAGGTTTCCAATTTGCTAATTGAGACATTTCCTCATGGAAAAAGAATGTCCTGGACTAAGGATGGGGCTGCTGGCGCTGCTCTGCGCACTGGGGGAAGCTTAGGTGAGGCGTGATGCGAAGATGAGACAGGCACATCAAGGTCCAAAGGCAAATATCAGCCACCACGGACCCCGGAGGCTGCACGGGACGCACCGGCACCTCCTGGCAGCACCACTGAGAGATGGACCTGGAGGCTGGAACACGGCGGGAGGCAGAAATAAAGCACAGGACATCTTACAGCATGTTCTTCCTGCCGCTGCTGATGTTTAAGTCACATTGAGTCTGGGAGATTTTGGAGAAAGGCAGGTGGGAAACCAGCCCAGGAGACTGGACATGTAGAAAGAGTTCTTTCCAAGCATCAGTTTATTTAAAAAAAGAGGAAAAAATAAACTGGCCTGCACATTAAAAAAAAAAAAAAAAAAAAAAAAGTCTTCTTCTGTGTTTTTGCTAGAGTGATAGAAGTATTTCTTCTGCCCTTAGAAAACACAAGAGTGAACAGATCGATTTTGTTCAAAACATTAACAAGACAAAAAGCCAAGAAAAGCACTTCTGGGTCAGAACAAGCCCAGAACATTAAGGGAGAAAGGACCAAGGAAGAAGCAGCTGGAAACACATGAGAAGGGTTATAATGGGAATATGACTGCTGCCATAGTTACAGCCTCACCAGTGTGACCTCTAATGGGACCAGCTATTTTTTTTTTTTTATATTCAAAAAAAGAGGAATTAAAAGCGTTTTGCAGACTCATGCGGAACGCACAGGGGATGGAAAGGGATTTCTAACTTTATATAGGTCAAACATCATCCATACAGGTTCACATAATATTCAATACAACCATAGCCACGGCGTAAAAACTGAGCTTCAAAGTACTCCAGAGGGATCCCTGGGAAGTTTACTCTCTCCTACCTGAAGAGCAGCAGAACAGCAATTCGGTTTGGATCAATAACATGCTACAGGGGAAAGGGGCTGGAGAATGATTGCCCATTTCTGCCACTTCAGCTCAGGAGAAATTAGGATGGAAAACGCGGTCTGCCACAGAGAAGAGGCTCCCCACCCCAGGAGCTCCCCGCTCCTGGAAACACGTGGAAGAGAGACTCCAGGCAACAGGGCCACGATGGGCATCTTCAGAAGCATCCAACTCCTGGTGAGCCTCCAGCCACCTCCTCTGCAGGACAGCAGCCTCCCTTGACGCGGTGCCTCTGGGAGATGCAGAGGATCGCTCAGGCCAGTCCCTCTGGGGACGGCACCTGCAAAGAGCCGAAGCGCTGGGATCCCCTGGGAGGGCAAAGGACAGAGGAGGAGTGTGGGGCCCTGGGAAGCTGCCTCACAGTATCGCAGAATGGAAGGGACCTTCTAAGACCATCCAGTCCACCCCTCCTGCCACAGGCAGGGACATCTTCCCCTAGGTGAGGTTGCTCAAAGCCCCGTCCAACCTGACCTTGGACCCTTCCAGGGATGGGGAGGCAGCGACAGCTTCTCTGGGCACCCTGCTCCAGGGTCTCACCACCCTCATCGCAAGACATTTCCTCCTTATGTCCAGACTAACCCTTCTCTCTTTCAGTTTAAACTGTCGCCCCTTGTCCTGTCACTACAGGCCCTGGTAAAAAAGGTCTCTCTCTGTCTTTCTTTACGTATTGAAAGACTGCTATAAGGTCTCCCCGGAGCCTTCTCCTTTCCAGGCTGAACCACCCCAACTCCCTCAGCCTTTCCTCCTAGCAGAGGGGTCCCAGCCCTCGGACCATTCCCATGGCCTCCTCAGGACCTGCTCCAACAGGTCCGTGCCCTCCTTGTGCTGGAGGTCCCAGAGCTGGAGGCAGTGCTGTGGTGGGTCTCCCCCGAGCAGAGGAAAGGGGGAGAATGCCCTCCCTCGGCTTGCTGGCCACGCTGCTGGTGATGCACCCAGGACACGGTTGGGCTGCGAGCTCACATTGCCGGCTCTCGTCCAGTTTTTCACCCACCAGCACCCCCGAGTCCTTCTCCGCAGGGCTGCTCCCAACCCATTTTTCACCCATTACTTGCCAGAGCCTGGCCCTCTCACAGTGGAGAAGCTTTGAGCAAGCTGGCTCAAGGAGGACATGAAATCCCACCCTGGAGCACTTCGCAGGGCACAGCATCCTCGGTCACGGGCAAAGGCTGCAGGGGAGGTTTTAGGGACAGCAGGAGGGCTCCCACACACCACAGCTTGCCGCCGGGAAGCCTGCAGTGCTCCCCAAAGGGAAATGCCCCCAGCCCGACCCATCCTGCTCCCATCCTCCGAGAGGGCTGAACAGGCACATTCGGAGCGCAGCAGCCCCAGGGGATCATGCTCACAGGTCCCCCAAACCACTCTTTGCCACCCCAGCTCTCTCACAGGACAGGACAAACCGCGGGGGAAAGGCACACCCCTGGGGCAACAGCCACAGGGCACCTGGGTGCCCGATGGTGCTTTGCTGTCCAGCTGTTTGGGGAGAAAGTCCTATGCCTGGGCTTGGTGCACACACACACACACACACACACATATACCAGAAGGAGAAAAATAAAACAGCAAAGGCTTCGCTCTAGTTGTGCAGGCAAAACCCAGCTCAGCCTCCTGGTACCTGGGTCCTGGGGGAAGCCACAAGCTGCACCCTGCAGCCCACTTATCCTTCAGGAGCTGTTTGGCTTAAAGAAGAGGTGCTGCTTGGGGCATCTGGAACCAGCTTCTGCTCTGACAGCCACCCCTCAGCAAACACCAGCCCCTGCAGACCACCCTGCCTGCGCTGGGTGCTTACCTTCAGCTTTTCAAAGCGGTCGCTGAGGGATGCCACTTGGTGGTCCCGGTGGCGGCCCACCAGTTTACATAAGGCACAGATGAGCTGGTCGTCAGCAACACAGTACATGTTCACCTTCTCGTTCTCGTGCTCCAAGCACGTGAGTCCTCGGAAGTGCGCGTCGGGCACGGGCTCGACCAGCCGGTGGCTGGTGAAGGGCTTCTTGTTGGGGTGGGTGGCCCGCAGGCAGCGGTCGCAGTAGGACACCTCGCAGGTGATGCACGTCTTCACCGCGTCCCGCGGGGGATCCTGCTCGCAGAACTGGCAGGCGATCCTCTCGCCGGCCACGGACATGGTAGGGCTGTTGCGGTACGTCCTCTCGCGGCGGCTCTCGCTGGGGGAGTTGGGGCCGCTCAGGGATGCCTTCTGGAAGCGGTCGATGATGTTTTGCAGGGTCACATTCCTCTTGAGGCCCTCCAGGCCCCGGTGGTTGAGGGAGATGACATAGCGGCACGTGGGGCACTGGAAGGCGGTGATGGGCTCGATGGCCTCGCTGGAGGAGCAGCTGGACACCAGGATGCGGTGAGCGCAGCTGAAGCAGAGGCTGTGGGCACACGGCAGCAAGAGAGGGTCTTCAAATAACTCCAGGCAGATTGGGCAGGTCAATTCTGACTCCAGTGTTTCCATCTTTAGTTAAAACGATCCTGATTCAGCATCAAAAGCCAGGGAAGGTGGTCTGGTACCTGGGAGAGAGGAGAGCAGAGGCATGAGACGGCAGCTCTCCCGGGAGAGGTTTCCACCAGAAACAGGCAGCCGGGGGAGTCAGAGGCATCACCCCTGCAGCACCCTGACACCCCGTGCACCCCGACGCTGCTCCTGCGGCCCAGCCAGGCGCATCGGCATGGCCGGAGCGCCCCGCCACACCGCCCCCCCGAGCCGAGCCGCCGGCTCGCACCAGCGCCCGGAGAGGCCGTGGGACAGGAGAGGAGGGAGAAGGGGCAGCAGCAACCTCCCCTCCGTCACCTCCCAGCCCAGCCAGGGAAGCGGACTCGGACAGCAAGGCTGAAGACAAAAACAGGAGAAACCACATGATTTCATGTTTCTTTTAGCGAGCACTGCCCAAGACAGGAGCAGGGGACCATGCTGGTTTCCCATGCATAAAGGCCCTGCTGCATAGCAAAGATAAACCTCTAAATATCCCCTCTAGCAGCTACGCAGTCCTGTTTCCTTTTGGTGAAAGGGAAAAGGTGAATCACGTCCTGGAAACTCTGAGTGAAGCGGGTCAGGAGCTCTAACGTACCATCCTCCTGCTCTGTGCTTCTCCCAGCCGTCGCCTTTTAGGAGCAGGGCGGGGAAGGAAGAGCAGCGAAATTACAGTCTGCGAACTTCCATCTCTCAGCCGTCCTCTGCTGCACTCCAGCAACGACCAGGGATGCCCCAATCAACTCCAGCGGGAGGCAAACAAGCTCAGATTTTTAGATCACCATCCCCGCACGAGGCTGGAAACAGGCTCTCTGTGAGTGACCGAACCTGCTGCCGCACGGTTTCCAAGCTCCAGTTTGCCTCGGCCGGTGTCCCCAAACGCTGTCCCCCCCACGGCAGCCCCTGAGCTCCCTCTCCACCCAGGCTGCAGGACAAGCAAGCAGCAGGCACTGGGGCAGCACACCAACAGCCCCATCTTAATAAAAACCCCCACCAAACCCGCAGCGGGCTCAGGCTGCTAACACCCATCCCCACACCTCGTGCCGGCTTCTGGCAAGTCTCCCCCCCCAAAAAAAAAAAAAAAAAAGAGGAAGAGAAATAACAGCCTGGCAAGTGCCAAGAAGAGAAACCGCATGCTTCCCTCCCTCCCCAGCCTCAGCACCGCCATGCGCGGGGGCTAATTAGTGAGGAGGGGGGCGAGGTGGGCTTTGCGGCAGCCCTGCTACCTCCAGCTTTGGAGCCAAACCAGCAATCAACTGCTGGGCCCCGCCGCTTTCCCGCAGGGACCCGGCGGAGGGAAACACTCGAAGAGCTGCTCTCCGCTCCGAATTAGCGTGCCACCGCCCGGGGTTGACACGGGCTGGGAGCATCTCCCACAGGGGAGAGGGAGGGTTTAATTGTCCCAGAAGGGGGAGCAGGGCCAGGTCTGGGCACCCGGAGCTCAGAGCCGCAAGGTGCCGGCGAGAGCTGAGCCCTCCACGGGGCAGCTCCGCACGGGAGCAGACGGGGAGAGCCGGGCAGAGGGGGCTGCCGGCCGAGGAAGCGCAGAAGGGGCAGACTGGGGATTTCTTTCCAGATTCATGACAAGACGGCCTCTGGCAAAGGGGATGCCTACCAGGAAAACAGCTTGGGACTTTAGTGCTGGTACCCCCGGAGGCGGGAGGGGTGAAGCTGGGTGTTACTGCCTGCTAGCCGCAATCCCAGAACAAGGGTGCCCAGCACCGAGCAGTCACCTTTTTTTTAAGTCTGAAGACCCAGCCTAAAGTTCGTTCCTCCCTCCAGCCCACATCCCAGCAGCCGTCACCGGGAGCTAGGCTTTGCTTTCTAGTTAAACCAAAGTCAGGAAGAGACAAACGGCAGCAGCAGTCACCCAGGGGAAGCCACCTGCCGTCATCCCCCAGATCCAACTGCCCGGGCTGCTTTGGTTGTTTCATCCCTGTTGCATGTCATCGCCTCTGCCCCACCACAGGGCAGCAGCTCTCACCCAGCTCCTGGATCACAAATTCAGCTCCAAGACCAGCAATCCCTCACCAACCGACAGAGCATTTTTCACCTCGGTCGCTTGCAAGCAGCGTTCTACTGGGCATTACTGCATCCCACCCCTATCAACCGATGAGTTCAGGCTTTGCGCGGTGGACGTTGGGCCAGGTTTGAGAGCTAAGCGCTGCTCTGCTGCCTACAGACACCCAACAGCCACCCGAAGTCAAGGCCTGGGTAACAGAACCTCAGTCCACAACCATGCCCCTCCATTAAGGGTGTCAGGAGCTGGCCCCGTTTGAGGATGACCGCCCGTCCCACTGCTTGCTGGGCTGCCAGCACGGCCCTCCTGCACCCGCCAGAGATGCCCAGGAGCAGACCCTCTCCCTGCCATGCCGCAGCCCCCCCCAGCCCTGCCCCACGCCACCCCAAAGCAAAAGGAGGCAGCCGACGGCACGGGCTGGGATCCAGCCTCTCCTGCCTCACGCGTGCTCCAGGTCCCGCCCAGCGCACACACGGTGCCCCCAGGGATGCCCACTGTGATGCCCACCCCCATACCACAGGCGTGGGGAAAGCCCCGTTCTGCCAGAGTCCAGCAGGACCCCCCCTCACCCTGGAGCTGACCCCAGGAAAGGCAACGCGGTGCCCAGCTCGGCCAGATTTCCACCCCCAGCTCCCACTCCTTGGCAGGGTGCGCGAGCTCCCGTTCGGGGAGGAGAGGAAAAACACTGTCGAAAGGGGCTGCGATCTAAGTACGGGCGGGATGAACCGGCAGAAGCAGGAGAGGGTCTGGCTGCAGAAAGCCCCAAGAAGACCCCCCGACCGACCCAGGGCCAGCGCCTGCGGCTCAGCAACCCGGGAGCTGTGGGGCAGGAGCGGTCCCACCTTCTGCAGGTATTTTCTGACCCACCTCCTCCCACTGAGCAGCTTCAGAGCCTCGAGCCCTGCAAACGGTCCTGGCAGCCGTCCCCCAGCATGGTGGGGGCCTCTGCCTGCCCATTCCGGGCCGACGGCTGCTTCCAGCCCCTGCAAATGCCAAATCTCGGGGTGCCCTGCCGGGACCTGCCCGCACCTCTCCCCACCCATCGCACCATCTCTTCCTAATTGCCCAAAATAGGATTTGCAAGTGCCTGGAAGAGATCTTGAGCTCTTCCCTGCACCAGCTCAAGGGCCTTGTAAAATTAAGCAATTGGATATTTAGATATGTTAATGCTGCAGCAACCTTATCAAAGCCTGCCCAAGCGCAGCCTTGCACATATATATACGTACACACATTTTTCTTAATTTTCCCAAGAGACAGGGGAAAAGCAGCTGCATCCAAACAAGCTGTGGAGCGCAAGGGCTCCCAACAGCTTCCTCTCTGCGGCCCTGGGTGCTTTTCTCAAGCCTTGGAGCCCATCTCAGCCCTGGGAAAGCAGCAGGGAGGAAACGCTCCTGGCTGCTGGCCCGGGAGCTCTCGCACACCCCCCAGCAGCCGTCCCCTGCCCCATGCCAGATCCGCTGGGTTCCCCCCACACTCCAGGCCTGGCAGGACCAGGGGGTCCCCATCACCATCCCTGCTGCTGCAGGCAGCCCCCTGCCCCTTCTTTCTGGGCACTCATGCTCCAAAACCTTACAAAGGGCCTTTGATGCAGAGTTGTTTCCCTGTTTTGCTGAGATGCTCCAGGTAGAGTGGCTGCTGCGCCGTAAGAGCCTGATGTACAACCCCAGCGCGGGCAGCGGAGCACCTCTCACCTCCCCAATTCATCCACAGATTCTCTCCAGCCAGCAAAACACAAAGGAGGGGAGAAAAAAAAAAAAAAAAAAAAAAAAAAAAAAAAAAAAAAGGACAAGAACAGAATTTATGTCAGAGCCTGACCAACAGTGGGAAAAAAATTTAAAAATAAGGATTGGTGCGAGAAGATCCCCAACAGCCTCTGCGGGCCGAGAGCCGCTCAGAGCCTTTGAAGCACCCGGCTTTGCTGCCATCTGAGGCTAAAAGATGCAAAAAGTTTAAACAGCCTTTTGCTTTGTTCCTGAGGGCCGTTCTTATGCTAGTCTTGTTTTCCTTGCTGGGACAACATCCTTTAGATCTGAGATAACTGAGAGGAGCCTCAAAACCCAGGCTGGAGCAGGAGCAGGGACGAGGAAGCTCTCAGAGATGCACCTGGGCGAAGCAGTTGGCGCTGCCTCCGAAGCCTTTCAAGCCTCTCGCTTTGATGTTCGCTTTGATGTCCAGGATTGATGTGGCACGAGGAATAGCTGATTAGATTAAAATCTGCTTTGTTTAGAGTCATTAACTCCCTAAATATAAAAGCTATAAAATATTAACTCTGTTTACAAACAGCCTGGTGTCACTGGTGCCCAAGGGTCAGCCAGCCCCAGCCACGCTCTCACCAGCCCCTGGGGAAACTCCCGGCAGCCGGGCAGGGCTGCAACTGCAGCCACCAGTGGTTTAGCAAAGCAGTAGCGTAAACCCAAATGTTTTTGCTGTGGAAAACGCCTGGGTGGGATTTCTCCTGTTGTGTTAACACGGGGAGGGGCACGCAGCATCCTTCCAGCGCCTTTGCTCAGCGCGCCGGTGACGGTGAGCGGCGTTTGGGGGGTGTGGGCTGGCCAGTGGGCACCCCCCGTGCTGCTGAAGGTCTGTCTGGGCGGCAGATGGGGTGTGGGCAAAGCACCCACAAGTGTCACGCGTCCCCACGTGTTGCACTGTGCCTCCCCGGCTCAGTAAAGAACAAGGGAAGCGGCTCACGGGGAGGCAGACGCGTGTGGCTGTGGCTGTGCATCCTCACCAGGGCCACAGCCCAGGGTGCTGGGAGCCCCCGCGCCAGCCCTCCTCCTCCTCCTCCTCCTCCTCCTCCCAAAGGGACAAAGCCCGTCAGCAGCACTTGGTGCAAACAGCCCCAGCCTCCGCAGCCCCCCGACACTGCGGGCAGACGCCGCGCTGCTGGGTGTGCACAGGGACTGGCGCGTCCGTCGAGACCGAGCACCGGGTCCCGCGCCCGGGATAAAACCACCCCAGCGACGAGCTGCTGCTGAGGAACAGAATCAGCTGGGTTAATCTCAGCTGTGGTCAAAACCCGAGGGAAAGAGAGAAAACAAACCAAACCAAACAAATAAATAAAATCAGCAACTGCCTAAGGCAGACGGGCCGAGGCGGAAGGGCCGGCGGAAGGCAGGAGGCACCGGGGCGAGCAGAGCGATGCGGTGGGAGCTGCGGAGCCGGTGGCAGAGCCAGCTGCCAGACCCACTGCGACACAGCGCCCCGCGCTCCCGCTCCCAGCCCGGCTTTTTGATGGGCTCCCAAAGCCCCGTGCTGACTCAGAGCAGCACGAGCCCCGGGGCGGCACGGGATACCCTCAGCAAATTATACCAAGAGTCGTTTGATACAAAGGTTCCCTTACCACCTCTCGCAAATTATTATTTTCACAAGATCAAAGCCGAACATGCTTCATTGCTACCTCGAGCTCAAAGGTTCATCGTGAGCGATACAGAGGTTTGCCGCCACGGAAGGGAGGGAGGAGAGAGAGAAACAACAGGAGGAGATGCTGCTCCCGTCACCCCATCTATACCTGGGAGGGGACACCCTGGTGCTCATCACCTAAGGCCACGGCTGGCCAGCCCAAAATTCCCCTTGATCCCTCCAACCATCCTCAGGCAGCCCGAAATTCCCCCTGCTCCTTCTGCCTGTGGTTTCCCCACGGCTCCCGGTGCAAGACAGCTCTTGCCCACACATCCGTGCCACACGAGCCCCATGCCGTGGGGCCCAGATACCAAAAATCAATGCGACGCACTATATCTGTGTTTAAAACCAACAGCTGCAACTTCTTTTAACTCCTTGGTCGTGGCCACAACTGCATCTTGAAGTCGGTCCTCGTAGCCCTGCCCGCAGCCAGACGCACAGCCCAAGGGATGCCGCAGCTCTTCCCGAGCCCCGCCAGTTACGGGTTTGATTTATTTAGGACGCGATTCTCCGTGCTCTCCAGGCATCAGCATACAATTATTGTGCAAGTGTGGATGGTTTATCAGGCTAAAAAACCCCCGTCCCATCCAGCGTTTGGCTTCTCTGCCATTTGGTGGGGACGTGTCGACGTGCCTTGTGCGCGGCGAGCATCAGCTGAGCCGGGCACAGCAGCACCCGCTTTCCTAAACCGTTACAGAGAATTTAAAGCCCAACAACGTACATCTGCAGGGCACATTTTCCACTCCAGCACGCCCTCCCGAGCTCTGCCAGCCCTCACTTTTACCACTGTTCACTAAGTCCACCTGAAACTCCTCCTGGTCTCCCCCAGCACCAAAACCGGGCAGGGCTTTGCCAGCCTTTCAGAGCCCCACACTGCAAACCACCTCTCCTCTCTGGACCTGTTTAGGCAAATGCTAACGCTTCAGGTTGATATTTTCCACAGCATGTGTGATCTTTTTATTCTTTTTCCCCCCCCCCTCCTTTTTTTTTTTTTTTCTCCCCCACTCCCCTCCTCCCAGAAAAAAATTCAGCCCAAATTGCTCAGCCACTTCCAAGAATGAGGCTTAAAAAAAGATATGTTGCTCCACCCGCACGTTAAAAAAAAAGAAATAAAATATGGCAACCCTTTCCTTAATTGGCTCCACGACAGCAGGATATGAAATCTGGGCAGCAGTTGTCTGTGTGCTTTTTGTTGTCCTCGGGAAAATTAGCTAGAAATTGGATCACTGTTCAGGGAAAAACAAAAAACCCCCATCCAGCAGCTACGTCCCGTCCCTGACGAGCCCCGGCTGCCCCGCGCAGCCCCCACTCCGGCTGAGCAGGACCCTCCCTCAGTGGCAGGGACCCCCTCCCTGATTTGATGGGGGAGAGGGGGTCCCCCCCTCTGCTCCCCCCCCTCTGCTCCCCCCCCGAGCCCTGCCAACAGCACCGCACTCATGCAGACATCAGCCTTTCCAACAGGCTGCCCTAGATTTGTCCTTGGGACAGGTCTGTCCCAAGAGAAACAGGGGTCCTGCAAGGGAAAAGAGCCCCTGACCATGTAATTAGCAACAGCTTCCTACTTAACGAAGGTACTGGAGGGAGGGAGAGAGAGGGGAGGCAATTAGGCTCATCCAGCCAATTTAGACTTAGCGTTACCTCATTCTTCCGTGCTTGACTTGCAACCTTGATACGCTGGTGCGTGTGGAGTTGCTATGCATATTTAACACTAAATTCCAAGCTTAAACGTCCCAGACGGTGAAGAGCATCCTTCAGCCAGGCCGTCGCTGCAGCACGTGACTCTCTGCCTGCTCTTCCCTCACAGTAAATCTGAAAACATCGAACAGAATTTGGCCTTTCCTCCCATAGCTCCTGTCTTAACAGTTTCCTTAATAACTTAGCGAATTTGTCCAAGGCTTTCTGAAAATCCAAATAATTCATCCCCCAATTGCTCTCCCCAATCACTTTATCGCAATACTGAAAAAAGAAGGAAAAAAAAAAAAAAAACCAAACTCTGATTAAACTGGATTTCCTGTATAAAAGCCATGCGTTGTAGTCCTTAATCTATCACACTGAAAGCACAGGCATTTCCACACGAGCTTTAATTATTTTCTCAGCCAATTTTCTTGGTGCTAAAATAAAGCTGGCTGCTCTGTAATTCCCACAGTTCTTCTTGTACCTCTTTAAATTAAGGACAGAGCAGAAGCGGCTGTGCTCCCATGCAGCAGTTGCTTTTAATGAGAGATTACATTTTGCTGGCAGTTCAGCTGCTTCATTGTTAAATTCCTTCAGAAGAGCTGGCTGGAGCCCACCGGGCCCTGGTGATTTGTTGCTCTTTAATTTCTCCGTTTGCACAGTACCTTAATCCCCAGGGGAATTTCATCTTCATCGCTGCCTACATTGTCTTGACTGATGGGATGAAACTGTTTCGCTCCATCACAACATCCTCTTTCTCCTGAACGTCTCCCGCCGGGCTCCCGTGACGGAGCGGGGCTCCGGGGCTGGGGAGGGCCCCGCGCCCCCGCACAGCTGCTGCCGTGCCCCTCAAACACCTCTGCCCTTGCAGCTTGCACAACCAGCTTTGGTTGGGGTTTTCCCCCCTCACATCCTAAAAAGGGGATTATTCCCAATGCATAAACTCTGCAGAAGCCTCAGTAACCAGGATGCAGGCGCTGCCCCGAGCCGGGGTGCTCCAGCCACCCCCCACCAGCATCCCGGGCCCGGCACGTCCCCCCAGCTCCTGCCTCCATCCCCGCTGCAGCAGCCCCGGGGCTCCCCCTCCAGCTCTTCTGGTTTGGGGCACTGTATTTTCCATCCACCCCTTCTTTCTCTTTTCTGCTCGATAACTTCTCTCCAGTTGTCGAGCAGCTTCACCAGCCTCAGCCCCCCGCTGCCCCCCGGGATTTCTGTAGTCTCTACACGCACAAGAAGCCTTCGCCCCGGCAGGATCTCCCCAATACTCCCTCAAACACGCTGCCCCCAGCTCAGCACCTTATGCGTCCAGCACGCCTGGCTGTCCTTCCCCTCCTGCCAGAGCCAGAGCTGAGCGTATCCCATTGCTTTAAATGGCTAATAATACTTTTACAGCTGTGCAAAAATCAATTGATTACGCTATTTGTTCTGGCAGTGCAATGAAACCTTCCCATCTGCAGCCGCCTCCGGTTCGCCTGGTGTGAAATGAAGAGCCACACTCCTGCGGGCCGGAGAGTGTGATGTGGGAAGGGCTCATGACAATAGGGGGGGTTTTGGCCTGATGTTAAACCATCAGCCTCTAATGTCGTATTTGTCTAGCCTGACAGGGTTGCGGCGTAGGATGAAGCACAAAGGTTGCGTGTCGTTTTAAGCCGGTCATGACGGCACGAGAATATAAGCCACCACCAAGCTGCGCTCCCCACTCCCCGGTATCAGGTGCCAGCCTTGCAGCACATCACTGGGATTTCATGGGATCCTGAAAGCACCCCAAGCTCACCAGCATCCATGAGAGCCCTCCACAGATGGGGCTGAACGCTTCATGCGGAGAGGCAAAGCCTTCAGTGCGCGCCCAGCACCACTCACACTCCAGATGAGCTCACCGGGAAGCTTGTCTTGGGGTACCCGCAAGGGACATGGGTGCTCTGGCTAAAGCCCACGGGGTCTCCGCCAGGGAGAGATCTCATCCACCTCCAAGATGTCAGAGGCAAGCACCACACAAAGCTCGTCTGTTTTTTATTCCGGTTACACCCTGGCTGAAGGGAAGATTTTACCCCTTTCCGACGAGCGGTGCGCAGCTTGGCAGCGTACCCGAGGCGCTGTGCTCTGCCCTGCTCGGCGAGGTGACAGCTCCCCCGGCACCTCCGCACAGCACGTCCCCACCGAAGGCTCCCGGGGGATCTGCCGTTTGGAGTTTACGACACGCGGGGCAGATCGGGGAGAGATTTCCCACAATTTGCTCACCGGCTCTCGCAGCCGCGCACACGAGAGTCACGCCGTACGGATTTCTCAGCAGCTGGCGCGGTTCAGAGAAACCCCACGCGGCAACGGCGCACGTCACCCTCCAGGAGCCCTGAGGGGCAATTCCCACAGACACAGCGTGCAAACCTGCCCCCGCCACCTCCTTCGGTGTCCTGGGAGTTGACAGGACACAAAAAGCTGCAGGGCATCTCTCCAGTCCCCTCCAATTCGGCAGGTCCCTGGCACGCAGCACAGTCGCTTTCAGTTCCCGTGGAACACTGCAGCTCCTGGGGGCCCTCTGCTCTCTGGCAGTTAGTAAATCCAGGGGCCGCAGCAGCCAGCCTCACCCACCTGCAGGCAACAGCCCACCACAGACCTCCTCTCCACTGCGCCGTGTCCGTCTGTCCGTCCCAGACTCCCCCGCCATGTGTTTTGTGCCTGGCGCTGCCAAAACGCAGCAGCCCCCACCCTCCCTTCCAGCAGCTGCCACCGCAGCTCAGGGGTCGAAGCCCCGCAGCCGGGGGGGTCACAGCCATGCCGGGGGGGGGGGGGGGTGTCATGGCCTGCAGTGCTGGGGCCAAGGACATCAGCAGGCACCCGGCTCCGAGGCTGCAGCAGGAGCAGCTGCACCTTCCCGAGAGCGGCACGGACGTGAGCGAGTCTCTTCCACCCAGTCGGGTTGCAGCCGGGGACTTGGCACGCCACGCCACGGAACCGGCACGTCCACGCTCCCACGGGCCTGGCGCCGGCAGCCCTGCCATCCCCTGCAAACCTTCCTTCTGCTGCCCACCAAACCCCCCTCTGCTCCAGCTCTTGCCGCCTCCCTCCCTCCCTCACCTCTCCTGCAGTTCCCTGCTCTCCGGCCACTGCGCTCCGACGGCCTCTCCTCCGCGGCCCAGCACTGCTGTAAGGCAGCCCAGGGAAACACGGCACTCACGTCAGCACCGGCAGCTCCCGATAAAAGACCTGTGCCCGGCTGGCTCCTGCCAGACCACACATTGCAGCAGCTTTTTGATCCAAGCCCTTCTCCAGGCGCACCCCGCAGCTCTGTGCCCTTCCCCTCTGCCTCAGCCACCGCCTGCAATGCAGCTCCAGCCCAGCAACGTCCCCGCAAGCAGCCAGAGGCCCCTGGCCCTGCAAGGACGAGGGGAGGGCACGGCTGCAAGTGCAGCGCAGCAGCCACTGCTTCATCACAACTTTTTGGGCTCAAGAGCAAGTCATGGCTTTTATTCCCCAGATGGATGCTGCACAGAGAGGCATCCAGCCCTCCAGATTGCTGCTGCAGGCAAAGACCCGGCTGATGCAGCACCATGTCAGGCACTGCCAGGGCCCCACAGCTGTCAGCTACAGAGCACGCAGAGCCCCCCACACCACCGCTCAGCACCCCGCTTCCTACCTGTGCCACAATGAAAGCTCAGCTCCTTCACTAAACCAGAAGCGAGGCGAAGCAGCACAGGCGGCTGTGCATAAATCCCCCCGACCTCAGAGCAGTGGGATGGCCAAGGAGAAGCATATTTCAAGGGTGAACCCCTTGGTCTCTCCGGAGGCTGGAGAAGCAGCAGCTTGCTCCAGCGTTTGCAGCCCCGGAGCCATACTGGGGGATGAGCATCTTTCGGGGACCGCACCCCGTGAGCCGCACTGGGGTTACCCCACTCCCACAGGGCCACCAAGCCTTAATGCAGGACACCAGCACAGCTCACCCGCAGGCCAGCAGGGTTTAAAGAGGTGCTGAGAAATGACTGTAGCCAAGGCGAGGTTGGGCTCGTGGCAAAGTCCACTGCAGGAAAGAGCCAGAAGACACGGACCCAAACTGGGAAGGTTCTGGTGCTGCTGCAATGCAAGCATGGCACAGCGAGGAGCTGATCCACCCCTGGTGTGCCCCAGGGACCCTCGTGCCGTGCAAACATTGAGGCTGCTGCTGGAGGGATGCTTATCAGGGGACAGAATGAAGGCAGACCCTCAAACAAAGAAGGGGCTCCTCCTGCACAATGCGGCCCCGTTCCAGTGAAGACACGGAGCCCAACGTGCCAGCCCGCTGCGTGGCATCCCCCACCACGCTGCCGAGCGGCACCGGGCAGCCCCGCAGGGGAAGGGACAAAACTGGCCAAAGCCAGGCAAGTAAGGCACGGCTCCAAAGGGGCCAGGAGCTGCTGCCCGGACCAAGGTTTCCATCAGCCTCTCAGCCTGCTAAGGGCCACGGCGTGTCCCCAGCCGCCAGCTCTGACAGCGCTCCGAAGAGCACGCATGCCGCAGTGCTGCGTCAGCCCCGCGAGCCCGTGAAAAAAAGCGAGCTGCTTTTTTCATGATGATGTCGCTTCAGTCCCATTTTGTTGCTCAGCGCTGCCAGCAGGAAAAAGGCTGTTCCGACCCCCCCGCAGAGAGCCCAACCTCGCGCGCCGCTAACGGGCGGCTGTGCAGGTCAGCCCAGAGCCGGCTGCAGCCGCAGAGCCTCGCCGGGCTGCCCCAGCCTCCAAACCCCAAAACCACCAAACGCAGCCGCGCTTGCGACGGATGCCATGGGGTCGGGAAATTCAAAGGCTATTGTGCTGCTCTCTGCGAGTTTAAATATATCTGCACAGGCTCCTTGGGGTTGCATTCCTGGTGAAGCGGGTAAGATAAACAAGGCTTCCTGCAGGAACTGAAGACAATGGGGGAATAATTAGCATTAATCCCCAATGCAGAAACAATGCAGGTAGCAGATATTTTAGACTTTCACACCCTTCCCCGCCCCCACCCCGGCACATTCAGGAAGAGGCACCCAGGCTGGTGTAACTTGGCCCATGGGTCTTAGCTAAAAAGACAAACTATTTAAAAGGAGGGAAGCAACACAGCACTGGAGCAGAGGGATCAGCCCTGGGTTTCACTGTTCCAGGCTTCCCCTCACAAAAGGAGGCTGGTGC